GAGCGGGGCCTCGCCCGCCTGCGGCTCCGCGGGGTTCTGTAGCTCCGGAAGCCCTCAGCGCGCCTGGGGGAGGGTCTTTGTCGACCCGGGGGAACTGCGGCGCTTCTGCCCTTTAAGGTCACGGCCAACAGTATCACCGTCTCACAGGCCCGTCTGAGCCCACTGCCTGGCAGCCTCAGCCATTCAAGAGCTGTCTGTATGTACTATGGCCGTGGAGTTGCTCCTCAGGGGCTAGTGAAAGCTGCTAAGATTTGTCAGGGGGAGCGCATTCTGGGTTTGTGTTGGTGGCTGGTGATGCCTGAAGGACTGTCCCCAGATAACCCAGATGGGTATTGACAGGAGCTGTTCACTTCCGGTTTGTTTCATGAGAGACTTGAATTCTGTGTGCAGATGCTGAAACAATAAGTGCCACAAGAATTAGCAGGAGTCATCTGTTTTAACAATACCAACTGAGAACTGAGTAAGGGCTCAGGACTGTAAAGGCACTGCTGTCTCTCCTTACTCATGGATCTTCTGTGGTCCCTTCTGAGCACTGTGTGTCTCATACCATTCTTTTCCAGTAAGGAAGTGCTTCACGGATTTTTAAAGAAAATTAAGCTCCTTTTGACAGGGTGAAGAATTAAGCTTTATAGAGTTGATGCTTGCTATTTTTAAAAGACCTTGTGCAAAATAAAGGAGTATTTCTATCCATTGTTCCAGAGAGAAGTTCAAAAAGAAACAAACATGGCCAGCAGTCACAGACCTTCAATAGCTCGTCCTTCTTCAAGAGCAGGAATAGGGCTGACCACAAGGCCTACCAGTTCATCAAGGACTCCATCAGCAACCAGAATAGGAACAGGGGTATGTTAAAAAAAAAAACACAACCACAAAACAACCCAAAAAACATTAACTTTGATATATTTAGTTTTTTATCATTATGTTGGGGTTTTTTGTTTGTTGTTTGTTAGCTTTGGTTTGGTTTGGTTTTTTTTAGTACCATGGCTGGAGTGATAGTTTCTCAGGAAGAGTTTTAAGATTTCAGTTTTGTGGAGAGTTTTTGGTTTCGTATTTTTTCCTAATTTTGACTGAAAGGGGTCAAGAGGTCAAGAGAACTCTTTCATCAAAAGTTCAACTGGGAGACCTTAATAGCATTAATGTTGCAGACAGAGGGAACAATAAAAAGCCCTTCAAAGGTAATCTCTTACCCTTCTGCAGCAGAAATTTGACTCAAGCTTTGTTTTTCTGAGGAGATGTAAATACTAAAGGATTCTTACAGGAACAGTATAGAGACTAGCTGAAGTTTTCCATTGCTTTGACAGTTGCATAAGGATAATAAAGTCATAATTCAATGTTGGGAGGTTTATAGTTTGGTTGGTTGCTTTTTTTTATAGATGCCTCCTAGTACATCAAGACCTGTTTCTCGTGGTGGCTCTTCAGCTACTGGAGGAGTCTTATCATCTCAGATCAAAGTTGCAGACCGTCCAGTGACTCAACATGGTTTAAGTGGAATGAAAACTGCAGTGAAAGGTATTTTTTACTGAAAGTAGCTATCAAGGTGTCTGCAGACATTTTAAAGGAATACGTAGGTTTCTAAAGGCAACCTTTTCCTTGCTGTACAAAGTGCAGAGCGAATAGCTATGAATGATAGGAATGGGAGAAAGGAAAGGAAGATTAAAACATCCCTGTTATTTTCTTTGCTCTTAGAAGTCATAGATGACAAAGGCTTTTCTGTGCCTGAGCTGTCTTTCAAAATCATTCAGAAGCATAGAAGAAGACAGATTGTGTCTTCCATCACTGCAGAATAATTAAAATACCGTGTTATGTAGTAACTATTAGTACAGCTGAAAAAGTAATGTTTATCTTCACAACAGTGTAAAATTAATTTCTGCTTTGATTTGTTATGATGAAGTACTATCTTTTTAAGAACACTGATAAGATGGCAGTTCTCTGCCTGTAAATTCTGCAAATTATTTTCATAATTTACACTTCATCAAAATTAGTTGTTTTCTAACAAAATGTCATCTTACTCTCCTTTGTCAGGTCCTCAGAGACAGATAATGGATAAAACGTATTACCTTGGTCTTCTGAGGTATGTCTTAGCCACACATTAAAACTGCAGGAGGTTTGATGCTCTGTTCCCTTTCTGACATGAAATTTGTTGTGTTTAACAAGAACGTGAGATAAGCAGTGTTCACTTACAATAAAATGTGTCCTCTTATAAAAGTTAAGGTCATTTTGTATATAGTTTGTAGGAGGGAGGAAATTTTACGCTGATGTTGAAGTCCAAATATGTGCCTTTGACATTTTGTGACTAGAATTGCTAAATTGCATGCACTCCCACAGCGTTAGTAAAAAGATGGTCAGTGATTTTGAGCTTCCATCTCAAATGAATGCTTGATAGGTCTGATAGCTACATTTGGAACAAGTAGCATCACAAACTGAGCACTTGTAGTGTACATTTCAGGTGGTTTACTTGGATTATGCATTGAATTAATGCTAACAAAGACAAGGCTTCGTGGAAACTGTATAGTATGCAATGCTACTTTGTCAGTTGATCGTATTGCAGTATTGAATGATCAGTCCTAAAATACATCTTTTTACATAGGAGTGATATCCATATTCTGTGAAATACTATGATATATACCATGATATTGTAATCTTTTTTCCTGTCCACTTGAGAGTAATTCACATCTATTTCACCAGCAGGGACACAGCTAATTAAAGCATTTTATTTCATATCTGGGTTTTCTAACAACTGGTTACTATTTTATCTGATAGAATCAGTCATCTTTTTTCCTCACTTATCCAGCTCTTCTTTGAAATATTGATTTGAAACATCATGCAGTGTGAGAAAGAGATACTGATTGCACAGCTAGAATACAATATAATTTCTGTTCTGTGTTTTAGTTGTACATTCTAATATTTTGTTTATTTTTTTGCAGAAGCAAAACAAGTGAACTGACAACAGAAATTAACAAGTTGCAGGAAGAAGTAGAAATGTACAAGCAAGAGAAATCTGTCTACTTGTCATATGAAAAAAGGTGAGATATATTGCAGTTAATGCAGTGCTAACTTTCTCAGTAACAAAACTATTCTCAGGTATTGTGCAGCATTCAAGGAACCATTAAATTTTTTTTTTTTTGCATTATTTTATTTTTGCATATACAAGTCTTCCATGCTTAAGTTTGACTTTGTTTTATATTTAGGGCAGAGGCTCTAGCTGGAGAAATCAAAGAATTTCAAGGTCAGCTAGCAGACTACAACATGGTATGCTGCTATCAACTTATAATACTGAATGCTCTCCCTTATCTCGTTTACTTTCTATTGCTTTTGCTTTACATCTTTTTTATTAACTTATGTCTGTAAAAACATATTGGTTAGTACAGCCTCAGTATTAACAATAAAGTATACTGGTTAATACTGCCTGAGTAAATTCAGTTATTGGAAAGTAAAACTATGGAAACTAAGGAAATCATAAAAAAAAAAGTTTACTATGCATTAGAAGAAGCAGTTACATATGGATTTAAGAAATTACTGCAGCATAATGTTTGTGGGTTATGTACAGCTACGTATGATGATAATAATTTCTGAAAACTTGGAGTACTGTGTGCAGTTCTGGTGTCCTCAACATAATAAGGACATGGAGCTGCTGGAGCAAGTCCAGAGGAGGGCCACGAGGATGATCAGGGGCTGGAGCACCTCCCATATGAAGATAGGATGAGAAAGTTGGGGCTGTTCAGCCTAGAGAAGAGAAGACTGTGTGGAAACCTCATAGCAGCCTTCCAGTATCTGAAGGGGGCCTACAAGGATGCTGAAGAGGGACTCTTCATCAGGGACAGCAGCGATAGGACAAGGGTTAATGGGTTTAAACTTAAAAAGGAGAAGGTCAGGTTAGATGTAAGGAAGAAGTTCTTTACTGAGGGTGGTGAGGCATTAGAACAGGTTGCCTAAAGAAGTGATTAAGTGTTCCATCCCTGGCAGTGTTCAAGGCCAGGTTGGACGGAATGTCGGGCGACATGGTCTAGTGTAAGGCATCCCTGCCCATGGCGGGGGGTTTGGAACTAGATGATTTTAAGGTCCTTTCCAACCCAAACTACTTTATGATTCTAAAACTGCATGTATTCAGATTCCCAAATAATTTTTTTTCCATTTGCAGTAACACAAAATTGTTGTGTTTTCGTAAGTGCTTTGTGAGTTACTACTTGTCTGGGTTTTTTTTGTGTAATTTAAAGCATAGAACAATAATAGGTTGGAATTCTGTCTCATTTCAGGTTGTGGATATACTTAATACTAGTACAGATATGGCAGAAGTGATTCACGATTACAATATGGTAAGAAATAAGATATATGCTATGTTTGAAGGGTGAAATAGTGTGTTGCTTTCTTGGAACTTTGAACATATAACGTATCTAAAATGGCACAGCACTAATTTAAAACTTACCCATTTTTCCAAGTTCAATTAACCATAATATTGGCAACATGTTTGCAATGAGACAGTTGTCTGAAGTGTTGCATTAACAGCCCCATGATATTTTTCTTTGGTTTAGTTTTGAGAAGGCTGTCGTCTCAACCCAAGTTTTGGGTGTTAAGATAAATTCTTTATTTGACTTGGGAACATAGAACACTATTAGTCTTATGAAAGGCAAATTTGCTAGACTGCACTGCCGTGTAAAGCCACCTCGTCTTCTGGAAATGTAGTTATATTGTGTCTTCAGCCTTTTAAATGACTCCCATGTAATAAATATTAAATAGATCTCTGACATGGCCAACCACAAAATCAGTGAGCTTTGTTTTTCTTTCCTTTCTTTATTTTCTAATACAGATAGAGTGTTCCTGTAAGTCTTCAGACATGAGTGTCATTAGGCATTTTCTGTTTCTTAGAATAACTTTGTCTATAAGCAAAAGAAACTAGTTTGATTTTAGAATAGGTTATTTTGGTCAAAACAATATTTCCCCCTGCATTTGATTGCGCAATAAAGTCACAATGTCTGTGTCATAAAAAAAAGAATGCTTTGCAAGTGTTACATTTTCATCCTGTCTGTAGGCTTAAACAGTATTCTATTAAATGTGCAGGAACAGATGCCACAGTAATAGTAAGTGAACTGATTTGTGACAAACTTGATTGTATTTTTCAAACAGAGAGGTGCCTTCTTACTTCATTTGGTTTCCAGTAGAGGACTGCAATTTCAGAAGGCCTTTCCTTAGTATCAACTGTGAAAAACCTCTGGAGCAGGTGACCTCTGCTGCTCCTTCCTCTAATGCATTCTCAGCTGCTTCTTGCTCATTCAAAGGAAACTTTCTGTATATGTGTATAGAATGTGTATCTTTATTACTGTATAGTATATCAGAATATCTTTTCTTTTTTTTTAAGTTAAAGGTTCAGAATGACCGAGACACTCAGAGTGTGGATAAAATTTTCACAGAAAGACAAACGTAAGTACATGAAGCATATGTTTCTCCAAAGCTGTTAAAATCATAACTCGACTTGGCAAAATTGAGGTGTTATCTGATTCAAAAGTTCCTTAACAATTGAAAGCATGCCACATGTGATACCTGAGCAATTTCAGGATGGTATATTAGTGCCGTACTGCAGCTGGGTTCTAGCTTTAAACTCTTCTGAGCAACTGCTTGAAGGAGATACTTACCATGTCATCCAAGAGGAGTTAGGTGGCAGTGGAGACTCCTGTCTTTTGGAAACCTGTTTCCAAGGTCCTGAGTTTTGGGGATTGTGTTGTGGAGTACAGAGTGGGAAAAGTAAGCAGAAGCAGGAACTAGAGCTGAGTTTCCTATCTGGTTAGGTAGGGGAAGATGAGGATGGCAAGATGCTTGCAATAACAATTTGTACGCCATGAGAATGGCTTATGTAGTGATAGGCTGAGAGGCTTAGTTTCTGACATGTTTCATTTAGGCACCAGAGATGTGCAGGAGAAAGAGACACAATCTTGCTTGTTGCAAGCAAGAGCAATCTCAGTTATGAGATTCTATGTATAAGTAAGCACTTTTAAAAAAGTTTGCCGTTTAATATGTCACTTTTCAATAAAATTGCAGTTTTCAGCAGCTCACAAATTGTCTGTTTTATCCCTGAATGCATTTTTAAGGAAATATGTATGAAAAGAAGAAACTTGGTTCAGTAGCATACTATGGAGTATAGGCATCAGGTATGCAGTAGTGATAACGGTGTAATGTATGTAGGCTCACTTAAGGGAATGGAGCAGTTGGTCTTTCCTGCTCTGCTGATTTGGGTAGAAAGAAAAATCCCAACAAATGCTCTGTTCTCTTGATGGTGTTGGTTTAGCCTAGTAGACTACTGAGCTGTGACACCATTGATTTGGATTCAGTCCCCAGTCTGCCTGTGATCTGCTGCAGCATTTTAGAGAAATTATTTTTCCTTTCTGGACTTACTTACAAATAAAGCATTAGTGATTATGCCAGCTTTACAAGCTACTTTGTAAAGAGTTCCTTTTAGGCAATATATGTAAGCTCTCCCGCTTCCATAAGTAACCAAATAGGTTTTTATAACGTGTGGGTTCTGAGTATTTTTTGCATGTTCTGAAATACTTGTGACACTAATGCATGCACATATCACCACATTTTTTTAGCTTCATAATTCGTGCAGCAATACCTTGTTATGGATTTGACAAGATGAAAGGAGATGGACTGTTAAACTTCCTTCTGTATTGTACATAAGTAATGTAATATAGAAGTACAAGTGTACTACAGTTTTGAGAAGCAAGTTCATCATCCATTAAGACATTATTAACTCTTCTCAGTTACGTAAGAATCAATGTATTTATCCTCAATAAATCCATCTTCCCCGGGCACAAATGTATGAATTTTCTCAAAGGAAATGGGATCTTCATTGTTTATATCCGATACTGTAGGAAAAGAACTTGTGTCAGCTGAGAATTCCTGTTCAAACATCTCGGAGTCATTTTCTTCCAGACGACGGTGGCTGTAGCTTATCAAATAGCGATACCATGTTGGGCATTTTGCAGCAGTAAAAATCAGGAGTGTAGTGCTTAGGACAAACCCTAGGACACCTGCTAGGAAGGTCCAGCTTTTGCCAGGAAGTGGTAACTCTTTAAAACAGACAGAAAAAAAAGAAGAGTCATCTTCATGAGGAGTACCAGCAAGAACTCTAGTATGAATTTTTTCACAGTTGAATTGGCAACTCACAAAATAAACAATGATTAGGAGAATTACTGAGTATGTCCAAAGCTTCAGTAGAATTTTATTGTTACATTGTTAGGGAGTTAGCCACGTGACCTGACCAAAAAATGCATGTACATCTCATATTTTTTAGCAATATAAATTTATCATGCATATTTATAAAAAATAATAGTTTCAAAATCAGATAAAATTCTGGGGACATATAAACTAGAAAATAATAAAACAAAATTTGAATTCCAAGGTTGGGCTTTGGGAAAAAAAAACAAAAAAAACCCAAAACAAGAAACAAACAACCCCAAACAGTAATTGACTTCAAATTCTATTTCCCAGGCTTAAATTTCTGTATGGTGGTGATGTATGCATCCTAGAATATTACATCTTTTGTTTGGCATATCCTTTTAATTGTATTTCATTTAAAATAAAGATTTTGATAGACTGTATTGCCAGGAGTCTTTATTTAGAAGCTGGTTTTGTGTGCTGGCCACTGTCCTAAAAAAGAATCTGTGTGTTATGGTGAAAGAAGTGTACAGCAGTGGTGGTTTACTGTTTATGTATGTATCTGGAAAATAATATTTCTTCTGCTTTAGTCAGAAGCAAGAAATAAAGCATTTCTGTATGGAAGAGTAGAGATTTGCATATAAGAAAGAAGGAAGTGACTTTACCAAAAGAAAAGCTAGAATATTACAGAGTGATTGTGAAATTAGCATTAAAAGGGGTAGAAAAGTAAGGAGACTGAAATTTTGAAAAAATACGGGATGGGCACATCTGTCTCCTTTACACTGAACACAATTGAAGACAGTATTAAAATTATTGCTCACTGTTGCTTACTATTTCACATTGACAGCTACTTCTAGAAATCAGTTATTTTCAAAGAAGTAATTGAAATTTTTTGAAAGATCCTTCCCCAGTTTTGCTAGGTAGATGTGGGCAATTACCTGAATTTCAAGACTTTGAAATGTCATCATCAGTTTGTAGTATCATTTGAGAATTCAGGTGTTGTTTATCAGTTTTGAACGCTTACTTAGCAAGGCTTAACATTCATTATAGTCTGTATACAGTCTACCAAAACCTGAAAATACACCTTTTCCATAATCCCAGCTTTTATTGAAGAATTACAGCATATGAAGTGTACAAATGGTATGAAATTGTGGAATAGCAAATCAAACAGCTTGTAAGCAGTAAAGTGGAATATCAGTATATTACCTGCATGTGTCCCATTGTTTTCAGTGATGTTTGGAGTCAGAGCTGTTAGGAAGACACTACTTTTAAGCTTAATGGCAGAAATGGAAGTTACAGTGTTTTCTAAAGAAGCTTGTTTGATTTTGCAGTCAGATGGTTGAATAGCTGCCGTTTTGATGGAGAAATTTTCCTCGGTGTTTGGGAACGTACATGTTGTGGTGTTTTCATTTTCTGTGAATGTGAGCAGTGGAAAGGCTATGAGATATTGTTAGTTAATTGGCACTCTGATCTAAAAAAAAACCATAGGTGACTAATGTATTATTGCAAAATACAAATAAGTTGGTAGTGGATATTATCCAGATCAGGAAAAAATAAGATAGGGCTGTTGAACGTAAACAAGTGTGAAATGCTGCTCTTACCAAAACTTACCCATTGTCACATTGGAGGCAGTTAGCCATATCTGTAAATCAAGGAGGTTACAGGAGCAGATCCAGGGGTTTCCAGCTAAAACAATTTTGATCAATTTAAAGGATGATTTTATATGAAAGTATTTCAAAGAGTTATACTGTAGATTTAAAACTGTCAGACTTTTTAGAGAAGTAAATATATCTGAATCTAGTTGAGCAATCATGTTATAGGATAAATTCAACACTGACAGTTGATTTAATCCTGCAAAGGCTGCCTTATGAACTGTGCTAATATGATTGCTGCTGATATCCAGAATTACAAGTTTTGTCAGATTGCAGAAGCTATTATTATACAGTACAGTAATCATGTTTTCATTCAGGTAAAGTTCAGTGAGGTTAATAAAACTTCGAAGAATCTCTTTGTCGATATCTTTTAAAGTGATTTTATTATTTTTGAGGCTTAATATAGTAACATTTTGGAAAAGGTTAGTGGGTATATTAGAGAGGTTCTTTCCAGACTCCTCACAAGTGACCTGTTAAAAGAAAGAGGAAGGCAACAATTAAATACTATAGGGAAGCCCAGTGAAGGTGTCTTACTGATGTCACTTAAGGGCATGAAAAATCTTTCTTGTATTTTTTTAATGCCAGCACTTTAAAAGTTCTACTGCTCTTCATACAGTTTTATTTCTATTTTTTTTTAATATACTCATGGTCTGGTGATAGAGGGGAATGAATGCTCCTAATGTATAGAGACCGGAAGTTTCAGATCACTCAGTGCTTGAGCAATGTTTGAGACACAAGGTTCTTTATGTGATGATTATCCAAAATATATCAGTTTGGCATGATATTTTGGAATTAGTAGGGCTCTCTGTTTTAGGATTCTATGTGAAGATTGGCTAAGTAGAAAAAGGATTCATTTCCCACATAATCTGGAAGTAGGTGTCATAGAGGAAGTGGATCCAAGGCTGAAAATTAATTCAAATATGCCTTTTCGAATGTATTGTTTTATTTTAAAAACAGCTGTGTTTGCTTTTTAAAACATGTTTGGAGTAGACCTTCAACATAACATTTAGTTCGGTTTTTGTTGTTGGGTTTTTTTTTATCATAACATTTAATTTTGGTTTTCTGGGTTTAAGTTTAGGATAGCTGCAGTCTTTTCAGGTTTGAGAGTGTTAACTCTCTATATCTTGAAGGACTTTTGTTTACTGAGAAGAGCAGATTTCTTTATATGTACATGTATGCATCAATGTAAACACTAGTTTAGTGTCAAGATGCTTGAACTGGGTTTAAAGGAGATTCTAAGTATTGGAAACAGATTAGTTGTATTACTTCACTTCCTAAATAAGTAGCCTACATTCAGCTTGTTACTACTATGACCAGGTTGAGTCCAGCTAGATAGCTGGTTTAAAAACAAATGTAGTGGAGTGCCTTTTCTACACTGTTCATACCCACTGAGTGGTTTTTTTGTTCTTTGTCTTTGTCCCAAAGATTAACAAACAGTAGATACAGTGCTGAACCAGTGGGCAGTGAGTCAGAGCAAATAGTGCGATACCAGTTTTATCATTTGACTGTTAATCAAGTTTTCTTCCTTCCCCTCCATTCTTCAGTAAATAAAAGTCCATTACATTTATCTCCAGAAAAAAAAAAACAAACCAGACCTTTAAAATTTCTTATATACATTTTAACCTGACTTGGGCAAGTACTAACTCTCTCAAACTTGAGCAGTTTTTGGCCTTGTCCAAATAACTGTTGCTTTTTAGGTCTATTCCAAAATAATGTAAACATAAAGGAAGCACTCCTGTTGACAGCAAAGGGATATGGCTGAGATACAAAGCCATCTCAAATATGTTTCAATGTTATTCACCCACTTAAAATGACTGCCAGCAGCTAGTTGTCCATTTCACAGAAAGCCATGTAATCTTACTTGCCTCTATGCGCTTCTTTCTTCAGGAATTCTATGTTTACATGGTGGGTTTTAAAATGCCTTTAGCTTCTAGTGTAACTTTCAAAAAAAATTACATACATATAAAACTTACAGTTGGAGAAGTAATGTTGCAGTCAGTAGTGACAGGGTTCAAAAACAGCGTTCCAGCACAGATCACAAGCCAAGAGAGTGTCATATTTAGAGCCTAGTAAAAGGCAACACTTTTGTATGCCAATATGAGAATACCGGTGTCTTCTGTAGTGGTTTCTACAGTGGTTCTGAGTTGAACAAGTTAATAGGTATAGTTATTTCAATGATAATTTAATAAATTTTCTTCTACACAAATACTACGAAATGCAAAATTAAGAGGAAAAACATAGGTTATCAGAATGAATGCATTCAGCTGTCACTTTGTTGAGCTAAACCTAAAATCCAGTGACTAGACTGTATGAGAAACTAGAAGAGGGATATACTAGACAGCAGTTTCATATATGGATAAAATGGATAGGCATGGATGTACTTATTAATTCCCTGTTAAAGCAATTGCGCGTACTGGAAGATAATGATAGGAGCATACTGCAGAAAGTATTCAGACTTGTGTGCTCTCCCTAAATAATTTCTTATGTTGCCACTGACAGAGGCAGAATACTGTGCTGGATAGATTGTTGGTTTATTCATTCAGATGTCCATTATATTCTTATGTAGGTTATTAAGCATTTTTTGTGATTTTTTTAGTTAGAAGATTGATCTTCTAATGTCTTTATTATCTATAACATAACATATATTATAAGATGTAAACCAGGTCCTCTGGTTATTATAAAGGTATAGTTGTTGCCCTGATCTTTGGAACTAAGTAAACATTGTTCAGTCTCGGTCCTGGGGGTTTTGTATGAACCTGAACCTTATTGTTTTGAGAGTTGGGAAAGCTTTTCTGACCAGTGGTGTTCACTGTGGCATTAACATCTCTCAGGGAAAGTGTCACTCATCCATCTGCTTTGAATCAGGCATTATTTGCAAGATCTCGTAGAACAGCCGGTTGGAAGAGACCTCAGGGATCATCTAGTTCTAGGCAAAGCATGGCCTGGACTAGATGTCCCAGCACTCTGTCCAGCCAAACCTTAAAAGTGTCCAACACCAGGGAGACCACCACTTCCCTGGGGAGATTATTCCAACAGCTGATAGTTATCACGGTGAAAAATTTCCCTGTTATGACCAATTGGAATCTCCCCAGGAGTAACTTGTGCCCATTACTCCTTGTCTTTTCCATGTGACTCCTTGTAAAAAGGGAGTCTCCGTCTTCATTTAGCCACTCTAAATACTGGGACACGGTGATACGGTCTTCACTGAGCCTTCCTTTCTGCAGGCTGAGCAAAACCAGCCTTTCCTCATACTACAGGCTTCCCAAGTCTTTTGATCATCTTTGTGGCCCTTCTCTGGACCCTCTCCAGCCTGTCTACATCTTTTTTGCATAGCAGGGACCAAAGTGCCTATTGTATCTTGAGCTGTAGAGAGTATCACTGAATTTAACAGAGAAGAGTGGGGGAAATTATGTAAGGAAGCTCAATTGCATGAACAATGCTAAATATAGGCAGCCAGGAGAAAAAACTCCGCAAATCTTTAAAAAGAGTGCCAGGAGGCCTTTGCCAGTCAGCATGGAGTACATAAGGTCACAGGACAAATTGGTCAAGTCTAACTGATTGCTTCTGTACATTCATGTGTCTATGGACTGACCTCATTCACCTAGCTGAATCAGCCTTGAAACTTACTAACTTCTTCGAAATAAGAAGATAAAAGCCATTTACACTGTTCTTATCCATTGTGTATTTCTGCTGATGTTGGAAATCTACATTAAGTACAAAAAGAATTCATAAACCATTTTGTTAGACATTGTCAGTGGCAGAGACAAGGCGTACTAGCAGCAGCAGCCACAAAATTGTAGAATCAACTAAGTTGTAAAAGGCCTTTAAGATCATCAAGTCCAACCATTATGTTCTCTATTAGGTATTGTTCTTGTCAGTGACAGTGCTGGTGAACTGAATAATTCAGTTTTTGAGCCAATTTGTATATTACTAGTAGAAAACATGTTGCAGTTTGAGAACTCCCAATATAGACTATGTTAATAGTTGGATCTTGTGGCATACTTGGACCTTAAAGATCCTGCTTCCAAGATTTTCAGAAAAAGAGTGGCCTTAGCCAGGCAGTATAGAAATAGAGATTAATAATATTATTGTAGTTTGCAGATTTCCAGAAAAGTACTGTCTCTAATAGAGTGGGAAAAATATATTAAAATATTATTTTAAAATTAGTCTGTAAGTTGTTAACAAATAGTTTTAAAGTTTTTTGAAACTTCAAGGAAAAAGTTAAAATGTCTGAATTAAGGAGATGCCATTAACTTAAAAAATCCTTTTATGGTCTAAAACTTCACTCTGCATAAAAATTTATTCTACGTATGTCTAAAACATAGTTCCTATTTTTTACTTTAGTATCTACTGAAAAGTTAGGGTTTTCTTTTTACAAGTTTGATTTCCTGTATTGTATGTGTGGGAACCTGTGGAAGAACAGTAGAATAAGAGGGAAGTAGCTGTAATTTTAATTGCAGTTTAGCTTTTTACTAAAACCAAACTTCAAAAATTGCTGTTTAAAGTAAGTACTTTGGAAAGAAACTGAGCCTGGCAGTACATCGGTAGTATCCTGTAATTAGAAACATTTTATTAAAAAAGTTTTCCTATAAGAATTTTTGAAGATTTTATTGTTCAGTAGTAATGTAATTCCTGTTGCATTTGTAAAGAAAAAGGCAGATTTTGGGAGGTAGTGGAGTTTATGTAATCGGCTAGGCTGTTTTCCGGAGAAGACACAGACTGTTCCCTGGCTTTCTACTGAAATACAATTTACTCAGCAACTTGTCATGTCCAAGGTTCATAGTAATTCCTGAACTTTTAATGTATCTCAAGATGTATTGTTTTTCCACTCTAGCAATAAAATTTTACTAATAAATCTTTGCCTACATTTTGAAAAAGATGTGGCGTCTTACCTTTCTGTTGCTTGTTAGAGCAGCATATGTACACAAGAGTGGATTTTTCAATGCACTGACAAGAAATAATATGATGCAACAGCACCTTGTTTTTGTTCAACCTTTGTACCTGATGAATAAGCAGGCAGTGTAAAAAAATAATAAACCTAGAAGATCCTTAGCAAAAGATTGACTAGGTTGAGCAACATCTTATAATCATCTTGGATTCAATTGGATCTGCAGCCAATAGGGAAGTCTAATAGTAGTATGCTCAGGTGTCAAGTTCCAGATCATATAGAAAGTACTGAGTTAAAATGCCACAAGGAATTTACAAGCAGGTTGGGTTATAATCAATTAAATGCTGGAGACAGCAAAAGACTTGCATTTTTTTTATGTGATCAGTCATCAAATGAAGAAAATGTCAAGATATTTGCATAGTGAAGTAAGGATCTCTGGTAGTTAAATTGGTGTTAATTCTTGTGGTTTGGAAAAATATCAGAGGAGCTGCAGGGTGTGATACGTAGAGTTCATTGTTTACAAAGAATTACAAGCACGTAAGGACATCTGTCTGTTTCATGTAATTTCTACTATAATTTCTAAGAAATTCCTGGAGGCTAAAGGAAATTTGCAAAAAATCCTGAGACTATGAAGAGTGTACCTTCCTTCCCTTCACAGTTCATGAAAGATTTTTTAAACTGTGTGCTTGTTTCCAAGTGATTTCTACAACTAAGAATGGCAAAATCAGCTGGGTACCTGCCTTCAGGATTTAGAATCATAGAGTAGTTAGAGTTGGAAAGGACCTTAAAATCATCTAGTTCCAAACACCCTGCCCTGGGCAGGGATGCCTTACACTAGACCATGTCGCCTGACATTCCGTCCAACCTGGCCTTGAACACTGCCAGGAATGGGACACTTATCACTTCTTTAGGCAACCTGTTCCAATGCTTCACCACCCTCAGTAAAGAACTTCTTCCTTACATCTAACCTGACCTTCTCCTTTTTAAGTTTAAACCCATTAACTTTTGTCCTATCGCTACAGTCCCTGATGAAGAGTCCCTCTTCAGCATCCTTGTAGGCCCCCTTCAGATACTGGAAGGCTGCTATGAGGTCTCCACGCAGCCTTCTCTTCTCCAGGCTGAACAGCCCCAACTTTCTCAGCCTGTCTTCATACGGCAGGTGCTCCAGCCCCCTGATCATCCTCGTGGTCCTCCTCTGGACTTGCTCCAACAGCTCCATGTCCTTCTTATGTTGAGAACACCAGAACTGCACACAGTACTCCGAGTGGGGTCTCACGAGAGCAGAGTAGAGGGGCAGGATCACCTCCTTTGACCTGCTGGTCATGCTCCTTTTGATAAAGCCCACTTTTTTTTTTTCTTCTATTTTTCATTAACTCTTCCCAAGTTGCAAGATTCAAAAAGTTTTAAATTGTGTAACCAACAGTTATCAGTTCAATGATTGCAGCCAAGAATGCCCTTAGGCTTGAAAGATGATGCACAATTTCAGGGTTAGGGAATACTGAAAAATTAATGGAAGCAGAGTAGAGCTGATATTGAAATGAACTTCTGACGTCATTTGGACCAGCCCTACTGCTCCTAGAGCAAGTTGTCAGTGAGGCTGGAGGAATACCAGAGTTTGAAATAGGTGCTTAAAACAAACATCAACTAGTAAAAGTTACAACTCCATTCTATTTTTACAGCACAGAAAAGTTAATTCAAACTGTAGAAGAAGATATCGAACGTGAAAAGGTTGTAGCAGAAGACATAATAAAAGACATGTCACAGGAAAATCAAGCTAAATATATGGAGATGAAGGCTGCAAATGAAAAACTCTCCCAGGTTAGTTGGTTTCATTGTACTTACCTAAAATGTTTCTCAGCCTGGCTATGTTGGTTCCAGGTACAAATTAATTATTAAAGCGCTTGAGAACAGAGTAATACAATAAAAAGTTTGCTGGTATCTTAATCAATTGCAGAATTGCCTTAAAAATAAATAGAGCAATTGGCTAAAAGAAAATACTTTGTCTTTTTGTATTTCTTATTTAGAGAACCATTGATGCTCATTAGTTTCCTTTTAAATTTGGGGACTGATATGCAGATTTGAAAAGCCACTGTAGTGCTTGGATGTTTCATCCTGTGTAAAAAGCAAGCAAAAGGGAAGAACAACATCAACAATTTTTGTAGTTCACTTGTGTAGAAAGTTTTCTTCCTCTATACAAAAGTGAATCTGGGTTTTTTTGTTCTCGTACATCTCAAGGTATCAGAAAAACAAACTGGGCTTTGTAAAATTTTTGTGACTTCACTAATTGTATTAGCAAAAGCAATAAGATTTCTAGGTTCTCTGGGATCATCTAGCTTCAGGCATACAGTCTTAGAAACTTCCTCTGTATGGTCTATGCAATGATAGATGTCTTTTGAGGTCTGTGCTTCCCAGCTGTTTTGGGATGAGCTGAACCACTGGTCAGGGCCTACCTGTCTCTTTCTGGATTATAAAGAAACTGAGGTGGCTAGTTCACATTTTAAAATCTAGCTTTAAACTTCTGATGCAGAAATGATAAATTCCACCCTCAGTACTAATTTTATGAAAAATAGTGGTTAAAGGGTAAACACGTTTTTCGTCATAGTCTGCAAATAATGGTAAGAGTTTATTGGAAAAGCTGGAGGCTGAAAGTAAGTGAATATTATATCTGGGTCACTTGGAGAAGCTGGACACAGTCTTTTAAATTTTTAAGAGCAGCAATAAGATGTTTTACAGCTTTTTACTAATACTAAGTTGCAGAATGAAAAAGTTACCAAGTAGTAATTTTTATGTGAATTTTGCCTTTTTTTTTTTTTTTTCTTAGTTCAAGAGCAGGAATTGGATGCACTAAATACAAAGGAGGAAGCTCTAAGAGCTGTATGTATGATAACGAGTGATCTCTGTACCAATCTTTGCTGAACTCTAGTGTGAAAAGTAATGCAGAAATTATTAGTGGAAATTTCTATGTTTTGGGTAAAAATTGTTTTTGTAGACGCCAAGTATAAAATTTTTATAGAATAGTGAGGTGTGTGATTTTTGATTAATTTGGAATTACTCTCTAAAGATAGACATGACATTATCATTCACATCCTTAAGGATTTGTGAGACCTGATTTTTCAATATGTTTTCAGCTTTCAGGCTGTGGGAGAATGGTTTTCTTCTTCCACATTCCATTTTAAAAGCAACTAGCACTTGAAACACAAAGTAGTACTTGCTAAGATATTTTTTATTCCACATGCATACATAAACAAACACTTCTTATACACTGCCATATTGCTAGATTGAGGAGAATTTTCTTATACTGGGTCTTCTATGGATAAAAGGATCTGTGAACTGAGGTACAAAGTCATGTATATATATTCAGACAGTATAATTTTCAGAAACTATTAGGCATTTTTCCAGTCCTTTTGAATACTGTATATGGTTCGTATTCCCTTAGAAATGATGAGATAGTAAATCTACTCAGAAAATTGGCTTGAGGATGAACTAATAGAGAAGAAGTAGCTGACTGGGATATTGCATTCCAAAAATTCCTTATTGAGAATATGGATTATCAAATTTATTGTTTATGCTGTCTCTGTGCTGTTTATAACAAATAAGCTTCGGTTTCAAAGTATAGGTAGGTGTTGCTTAACTAAAGCATAATTTCTGCAATGCTCTCTTGACAGCTGAAAATACCTGGTAGGTGTTTGCTTTTCCCAACAGGAAATAGAACACTCCCAGGTGAAAAAGGAGGCTGTGCAGATGTACGAAAAGCTACATGAGCTTGAGGAACGTCGAGATCAAATGATTGCTGAGGATAAGAATATGGAATCTCCGCAGGAGGAAAGAGAAAGGTTACTAAAGCAGGCAAGAATATAAAATGTTATCATGTAAAAGATTCTCTAAGGCAGTATTTTAAGGGATGATAATATTTTAAAATGCTTTGGTTTGAATCTTGCCTTTATTTGCTCTTTAAGCAGCAGAAACCATCTAAAATTAAAAACAATTAATGAATTGGCTGGATGGGATGTTTCAGGTTCAGGGAAAACAAAATCGGCACAGTCATCAGTCATGTTGTTACGGGAAAACTGATCCTACTGAACAGTTTCATAACATAATTCCAGACAGTATCCTTATGGGGTACTGAGCAGACACACTAATCCAGGAACAATTGAATTAGTTTATAAGCATCTATGCTGTGTTGTGTAACTCTCCATATATACTGTACAGATTATTCATCTGAACGACACTGGTGTGTCTGATTTTTCAATATGTACTTAGCAGGAGAAAGTCTGGAAGATGTAACACTTATCACTTCGGTGAAGAGACATTGTTGGACAATGTGGCAGCAAGTTTGTGGTTTCATATGTTGAGTCTCTGTTCCCTGTATACTGAACTAAAAAATCTCTTTTTTTTATTTTCCTTTTTTTTTTCATATGTAGATTTTGTTTCATATGTTGAAGTTGTTAAATTTTTTTGTAGGTTAAGGATGACAGTCAAGAAATAGCAAGTATGGACAGACAGTGAGTAATCCCATTATACTGTTGCTACAAATTGCATTTAGAGCCTAAAGACAGATAGCTGAATTCCATTATATGTTTCTGTGGACTTGTAGAACATCACCACATTTTCCAGCCTCTCGTAGTGTTAACCTTACACAGAGAATAGAAAATACTCTTCTGTTTCAGCTAAACAACTTTTGTAGTGATAGGACATTTCTTTCTGTATTGTAAGATTCCTCCTATCCTTATGAACATGCCTTAAGAATATAAATTGGCAATAGCATTGTCATAAACTTCTTCAATGCTGAAGAAGACATTCATCCATAACAGCTGCTTATCTGGACATCTGTGAAGTTGAGCCGACCTTACGCTGCAGTAACATTTTGAAGGCTTTATTTTTTATGTGTTGTTAAAACCTAAGAGTTATAAAGTTGCTTACAGAAATTCCATTCTAAGGAGTAACAGGGAATTGGTTCTTGATTCTTGGGTACTCAACCTTTCTGAAGATTTGCCAGGAATTCTGGAAAATGCTACAATAACTAGTAATGCATTGGCAGGGGTGAGGTGAAAGAGTACAATGTTTTTGTGAATTCAACCTTTTACTTTCTCTCTTTTACAGAAAAAATGAGGTAATCCTGAAATCTTCTAGAAACAATTTTAAGTTCTTTAAAGCAGTATTCCCAACTGTAATCATTCATTAATTTTTAATGCACTAACACCTTTGATTGGGTAATTATATAAGTTGCTTAACAGATTTTTTTTTTTAAAGAAACAATGACAGAGAATTATACTTGAGAATTTACATAGTTTTTTTTTAAGGTGATGATGTAATACCGAGTTTTACTTGGCAATTTCTGAACGGGTTTTAGTGAACACGTGAGCAATTTTTCAGGAATAGAGTTCCTTGCTGCATTTTACCAATGACGTTGTACCTCTGCAAAGTGGTATAGCAACCAACAGAGGGACCAGTTGAGTAAGTTAAAACTACTGAGGACTCAAAACAGAAAAGTGATACTAAACAGAGCAGCAGTACTTACATTTAATAGATACAGGGACTTCAGTGACAGGTGCTTTAGATAAATCTTTTATAATAACAGAAATCTTCCTGATATTTTTTTCTGTTTTCGTAAACCTAGGTTTGCTATTTTTATTCTTGATTTTTCTCTCAATTTTTGTGTAAATAAATAAGTATCTTACAACACATTTTTAACTGTGGATTTCGTTGTAAATTTTTCAGGCTGGCAGAAGTAAAAGAAAAAACAAACCACTTTAAAAAGGTCATTCAACGACTGGATATGGATCTGGAGAATTATCAAGGTAATATGACTAGAGTTTTAGCAGCCTATGCAGAGCTGCATCTGTATTATAATACATATTGTTATGACATTAGTTGCTTACAACTTTTAGGCTTAAGCAAATGTCTATTATTCACCATCAGAAGAAGGTTTTGTGTTTAGGAGTGCACACTTCTCCTTTCAGATATGAGAAGTGGGGAGTGCCCACCTTTAGTGGTCCATTCATCAAGTTCATATTAAGTAGTAAAAATACCCTATAAAATAATAATACAGCTGTCTGGTTTTCTGTCCCAGTTTTATTTTTAGGACTACTAGAGAAATAGGAGTTTCTCCTGATGGCAGAATTGCAGAACCAGCTCAGCTTTGGAACAGCTTTTATTTATTTGACCTTTTACATGATCTGATACACTGTCAGCAAATGTGGAGCTGAGGATGTTTAATAATAATGTGTAAAGCAGACAGAATTCAGTACTATTTTTATCTGTCTTTCAAAGTCCTTGAATTGATCTTTGCAAGAGTTTGGGAGTTGCTTAGAAATAACATTACCTTAGAAACTTAACATTCAGCAGACATATGCTATAGTACTTTGGGCTAGTTTAGGATGGGATTTGTCCTAGCACTGGACATACGGTTCTGGAGTAACCCCGTAGTTGAGTGTAGGCCCTCAGTAGCTGTGGAAGATTCTCCTTAAAATGGAAGTTCGTCCCATGGAAAACCTTGTTATAAGGAATCTTGATTAGATAGGTGTTGCATAAATATGTACATACATTCTGGAAAACTTTGTAGCAAGTTATATAAGTTCTGTAGGACAGATGAATTAATGTGTTTGTGTCCTTTTTAGTTTATACCTTTTCTCAGACAATCAGCATAAAATTTAACTGTAAATTTCTTCAAGGTGAACAAATACTTCTAAAATTGACCCTATACAAATGTCTGATACATCTGTTTCTCATCTTTTGCATTACAAAATGTTTCATATTTCTCCAGGTATTTCATTATATCTGTGCAAATAATTCATTAAGACTATCTTACTAGCTTTCTTATTTCCAGATAATGTCGTTGCCAACTTTACTATTCTGCTTTAATTCTTCCTTTTTGTTTGGCTTGCAACTCTTTTTTTTCTATCTTTGGAGAAATGCAGAAGGTAAGAAGTGAGTTGCTTTTAGCATTTTATAATTACCTTCAGACACAATCATTCATTGCTGGACTACATGTCTTCACTGTTGTAGGAAAACAGCTCTGTTGAAGAAGTGTTAAAAGCGTATGTAGGAGAAAGAGCATGCTTTCTGTCAGCAATCAGGAACAGACAGGATATTCGGAATATAGTTAAATTGTGGTATAATATGGAGGGAATTGTACTTGTTGATATCACATAGAGGAGATAAAGAAGATATTCATAAGGAGCTGCTTTAAGACACAGAAATCCAGACTCCCAATGTCCTTTTCTGTAGTGAGAAAGAATCCCAGAGAGCCATTCTTACTTCTGCTCTAAATCAGCACTTTGGTGTGTCCTTGAGATTGTCGTCCCTCCCTCCCACCCACCATCCCCACTCAGCTTACTTCAGTCAACTTAAATACTGGCTCAGTATTTAAACTGTTATATTACAAAGCATTCCCAAGACTTCAGCTCTTAAAGTTTTTCAATTAAATTTAAGGTAAAATGGCCAGTAAAATAATTACAACTAAGGGTTTTTTAATGTTTCAAGATAAACATTTCAGTGCTAGGAACATTTTTAAGCAGGAAAACCAAAATAAAAAGACCATTAATAGAAATAACATTTTTAGTTTTCACTTAAGATAATCTAAATTTGGAAAAAAATCACTCATTTATATATTCCATATGTTAGCAGTTACCATTAACAAAAATGATCAGGGGGCCAGAGCACTGCTTCTATGAGGAAAGGCTGATAAAGCTGAAGTTGTTCAGCCTGGAGAAGACTCCAGGGAGACCTTATTAGTGGCCTTTTGGTATTTAAAAGGAGCCTATAAAGAGGTGAGGAGAGACTTTTCAGTAGGGTCTGTTGCAGTAGGAGGAGGGGTGATAGTTTTAAACTAAAAGAGGGGAAATTCAGGCTGGATGTAAGGAGGAAATTCTTTACAATGAGGGTGGTAAAATATTGGCGTGGGTTGAGCAGAGAGGTGGTGGATGCACCATCCGTGGGGTCATTCAAGGCTAGGCTCGATGTTGCTCTGGGCAACCTGATCTAGCTGAAGATGTCCCTGCTCATTGCATGGGGGTTGGACTAGATGACCTATGAGGGTGCCAGACTATCCTGTGATTCTGTGATCTGGTAACTGATTAGTCAAAATCAACATTAGCTCTTAATGGAATAGACTTAACACTTCAAAAATTGCATGAGAGGATAAGACATTGATGTAATAATGCTGTATTTTAATGAAAACTTATCTGGAAAGAAATTTTTAAAGGTTGTGGGTTTTATCTCAAATTTTTTTCTTTAAACACTTGGCACATCATGTAGCTGTCTGTTTCATGATTCACTGTAACTAAACTTTTTAAGAGTAGAACAGACTGAGTTATTTAGTGTTGGAGACTTGCCTTGAAAAATGAGAGAGTCCAGCAAGGAACAAAGCCACAGCTGCAAGGAAGTTGAAGCAGAATCACAGTCCCCTAGGGACCCAAGGGTGTTCTTATTGTTTGTATATATTAGATAGGAAGGAAAGCATGTGGGTGTTCAAGTAAAAAGATCTAGAGAAATTTGCTTGCTCAGTTATATCTGTGTCCACTTCATTCTTTTTCTTTGTATTCTTTAAAGTTACAAGATCATGCTGAAAATTTATCAATGACAAAGACTCAAATGATTAAAAACCTAGATCTTTGAAATTTAAATTATTCTTAGAGGCAGAATTGTCTGATCTTGAAATCTGTGACATATCGGATCTCCTACTTTAATAGTACATTTTAATTAAGAGCTATTCGTAGTCAGTATTTTGGTGCCCATATACACAAAAACATTTGTTCTCTTATTTAAACTCACCTGACTTCAGAAAAATCTCGATCCTTTGTTTAAACCAAGTATTTATCCCCCTCTTATTTATAAAATATGCTAACCCCGAAAAGGTTCTAAAAACTGCATTGAGAATGATTTATTAAGCTTTTTTTTTAGTATAAAGATACGTATGACATAGTCAGTTGAAGTGATTACATTAAATGACATGGGGTGAGTCCTGTAGTTTCTAGGCATGTAGAATTTTAATTTTTAAAACTGACATTTTGCCTTCCTAAAGGAATCCAGGTCTCAGACAAGTAAAGTTAAATCCATGTTACATCCCTTGCAGGAGAAGAAAATTGGAGATACAAAGAGCTGAAGAAGAGGGAAGAAAGCATGGACAGTAAGTTCTCTAATATACTTTATTTAGGCCTAATTCCAGTAAAATACAGGTTTCCTTGTATTAATTTAGAGCTGAAAAGAACCAGTGCCCTGATCTTCACATAAAATTTCTGTGATCTGCCTCAAGACAAGATAATTGATAGCTTAGGACTTATAGGACAGTCATAAATATTTGGAACATTGTTCAAGGCTTTTCATCAGACGTTAAAGGTCTTAGGAATACAGCTTTATTTTATGAAAGCAAGGCTGAAATGAATTTTTAAATTAATTTAAATAAAAGACATGCAACCAGCTGTTCAGGTATGATTAAAAGCAGAAGTTAAAAGCAGAAAAGTGTAGACATCATATAATTCTTTAAAATTAAGGCTTCTCATATCTCTTTATTCAAAATGGATGCTACTAAAGCCTTCTTCCACAAGACAAAAAAGGTTAGTCAGACAGCTGTGATGAAATGGAGAGTTACTTGCAGAAAAACAATGAGATGAGATGTAAGTATGGACCTTGCTGAATGTTTCTAAATAAATTCAAAGAAGGTTTGAAAAAACAAAACCAAAAACCAAACACTAAAACAAACGATTAAAAAGGTCCAAAATGCCAAAGGAGAAAAACACTAGTCAAGTCATAGAGGTACGATTCTTAGGTCTTAATTCCACTCATGCTCAGTTTTATAAAATTATATATTTGTGGATGTAAAGAATTTTAGTTTCGTTCTCATTTTATGAATATGTCAGAATGCATTTCTTTCATGAAGGCACTTCACTCCTCTGCCTTACTTACATACATGTTTTGGAAGATTCAATATCCTCATTGCCTACAGCTTCCTTTGAAGTAAATAAATAGGTTTATCAAGATATTGCAGTCAACTTATTTAAGACCTCTTTACTGAGATGCTTCAAAGTATATGGCATCATCTGTTATGTAAAAAGAAGTGGCTCAGACCCCCAGAAGAGACAGACATTGATGAAGCTTTTGCTCATCTCTAGAGCACTAAACAGTTAAATGTGATTGAAAGTTTCGAGTTAGGTTATCTGAGTGATTCTCTTTTTAAAAATTGCCTACTTAATTACTTAAAAAAAAAAAAAGAAAGAAGAGCTCAAATGTTTCTAACACAAAACATTAAACAAAAATTTCAGTACTACTGTTTTCCATACTACCTTTCCCTTAGTTCTGTTGTGCTCAGATGTTTTCTTAGTGTAGAAGATTCCTGTCTGTATCTCACAACAACAGACAGTATGAAATACCCAGTAAGTGCTCTTTGAGAAAGGAGCTCTTTTTGGAGCTGACATTGTTGTCCTTCTTATTAAGGTATAATTGTCCTATCTTTAAGATCAAACACGGCAAGTTCATTCTGAAAGAAGAGAACATCAAAGAGAGAAAGTAAGTTCATTTGCAGCCTGGGTACTGGAGAAGAACAGACCTGGCGATGGTCTTATTCAGCCCTTAGGAAGTGACTGGCCTCTTTCAATTGCAAGCTTTTAAGCTTTGGTTTTAACTCTGTTCCTGGTTACTAGTAGTGTTGGGAAAAGGTACACTTTTTTACGTTTTTGACAAGTACTGTTCTCTACAGCTACTAGTCAGCATCAACTGGACCTAAACTTTATTTCAACTTTCTGAGCCAACTGAATCTGCATCAGAACTAGTCATTATTTTTAGCAGTCCACTGTGCACATTACAAATGTGTTGTCTAATGCAATGCATTAACTTCTAAGAATTCCTAGTGTCTTTAATCGTGAAATCTCTGCCTCAGAGTTAGTCTTTGTAGTATCTTCGTATTGTCCACTGGTTCAAATAATGCAAATTTTCCACTCTACAAGTTTTAGAAGCTGTGCTCTGTGAAGCATCTCTGTTAATTCTTTCATGGACAGCATTGCAGATGATGTCAGATATTACAATAGTTTGCTTATCCATGAATGTTTTATTAGTAAAGAATTTTAAAATCAAATATTTTTTAAAACCCCTGGATGCTCTGGAATCCAGAATTCTCTAGTCAGTCTTCAACCCTTCAGGATTTGTCAGTATTTCCATTAAGCTGATCCTCTTTTGTCTTTCTCCCTTCTTGAATTTGCTATTATCTAATCCTTCTTGCCCAAACAAGCACTCCTCCTCCTTTTCATTCAGCTAGAAAGTTTGCAAACTCTTTTATTTCCTGAGTGTTTCTGTGTATATAAGCCATGTTTCAGGAGGAAACCCAGGAGGGGAGGGATGATCATAACTTACAGCCCTGAATGGCATTTTGATAGACCTACGACTTTCATGTGATGTGTCCAGCACCCTTTTCTCAATATGCCTGTCATCAGAAATACATTGTAGTATGCCCAGGACACACATACAGAGGGTATACCACCATTACAAGTGTCTTACCAAATTCAGTTGGACACTTAATGGAATGAACATAAATTAGAGATGTAGCAAAGGGATATCATACATAAAGAAAGAGATGATACCAGTGAGTATTGGTCTCAGGTCCTTAGCAGTGTTTGGCATTTAGTCCAGCCCATTTGAGATACTCAAGTCCCTAGTGAAGTACCTGTTCCCTTTCTATAGTAGCCTATTTTGATAGCTTTCAGAAGAATTAAGACCAACAGCTGCTGGGACAAGCATTCAAAAAGCTGTCAGAAATTATTATGATGAAAGTCCTTATCCATTGGGTGGCAACCCTCACCTAAACAGTATCCAAGAAGGTGGTGACATTGTATCATTAATTGGTCAAATATGTGTCTCTGCAAAAATGTCCTTTTTTTCTTTCTAACCAGTTAATTGACATGTTTCAGGGACTCTTATCACCTGTCTCCTAAATAAATAATCAAAGTAACCTGTCTGAAACTGTACAGCTTATAAAGTTTTGTCTGGAAACTACAAGGTCTTGTGCTATACCCACACAGGCAGCAGCTTTCCTTATCATATTTGTTGATCTCTAGATTTTTTTGAGACTTTTGAAGAGGTGAAGAATCAGGAATTGGAACGAAAGGCCCAAATAGAAGCCAACATCGTTGCACTCCTGGAGCACTCAAGCAGGGTGAGCACATTTTCCTCCTCCCGTAGTAAGCTAGGAATTTAAAAGGACAGAAGAGGAGAATGTTTGATTAAAGAAGGGTGGTGGGTTTTATATATTATCCATGCCATATTTGCATCATAATCTCTTAAGAGGATTAAACATTAAATTATGTACAGCTGTAGTTAAAAGAACAAAACAAGTCCACAAAACCCAAGACATATTTGATTAATTTAACTTTATTTCTGGGAAGATACTTCTGTATATTAGATAATGCTTGCAACCAGAGTAAAAGAAATGTGTGCATAATTGCTCTGACTCATCATGACTGCTATAATGAACATTATTCCATTCATTATAAACATTTCAGAATACTGCAAATAAAACTGCAATATTTTGTTTACCTAAGGTCTGCAAGTACCAGTTCATGGGTGTTTTGTCACTACTGTTGAGTAACTGGCAATATTCCAATACCCTGCTGTGTAATATTTAATGTAAACACTTTAGAAATCGTTCTCATTTGCAGTCTGCTATTTTTTTGCACTTTCAAAACATTTGTTCTTACAACATTTTTAGTTCCCATGGATTTTTTTTATCTTACGGAAATCTTTCAGCTGAGTAATAGTTTGATTATGACACTACTTCATTGTCTTCTAAAACTTTTTCAGTATGGTATTCCTTAGGTACATTATAGGCAATGGCAGTTTAGTAGGGATTGATAATGGGAACATAGTATACATTTGTTGCATTTTTATGTTATATACTTGCTGCATTTTTGTTTCATCTTCAGTGGGCTGTCAGTACATCTTTTATCAAAAGCTGGCAGAATGAGAATTGTTCACATTGAAATCACTTCAGAGTATTTCCAGTATTTTCAGTCTTTGCAGAAGAAAAGCCACATAACAGACAATGTACGGAGATAGGAGAGTATTTTTACTTGTCCAGTTACCATTTGTTGTTTCAAAGATACATCATGTTCTCTTTATTTTTATTGGTAACACACAGAATGTGAATCGTATGAAACAAATTTCATCTGTTACCAATCAAGAACTGAAGATTATGCAGGAGGACCTCACTTTTAAATCAAATGAAATGCAGAAATCACAGAGCACTGCTAAGAATCTGATTACAGGTGAGATCAGCAATGAATTTTCAAATTCATTCCTTAAAAAAATTAAAATTACCTGAGTTGTTATATTAGTAATAAGTACAAGATCAGTGATCTCCAAGTATCAAAATACAGTGACAAGTTAATAAATTCAAACTCCTGTGGGTAAGAAGTTATTTATATAACTTAGGAATATAAATATTAGGAGTATTTAACTTACTATTATGATGCCTCTTTGCACAGATACACATTAAACATACGTGTTTTAATACTAGAGTACAAAGTTCTTTGATCTAGAAGTTTGATTTTATTAATAGTCACCTTGAATATAAACAGTTTTCATTATCTTAAAATAGTGTTTAATAAATTGAAGTAGAGACTTTCTTTGATTATCTAACCATGTATTATTTGTAAATGTAGTTCTCAGAATCACTTAGTTATGGTTTGCGCTTTTCTAAAAGGGAATGTACCATGACAGAATAATTTGCAGCAATAGTGAATAGCTCTCAAATTATCAGGCTTTGATTCTGCAAAGTGAATATTCATTTTTACTTCATTTTGGAACTACTCAAATAGATAAAATTAAGTGTAAGAATCTGCAGGATCTTGCCCATAATTTAAAAAAGCATACAGTATTTTTCTTTCATTTCCATGGCGAGTATCTGTTTAGTTCTTTCTTTCATTGTTTACAGTGGAATTGTTCTCGTAATTCTAAGACTTCACCAATATCATTATTGGTTCAGCAAGTCTTTCCTTGTTTTTTGGCTAAAAAGAAGGGGCAGGAATTAAGAAACATAAATAATTTTGTTAGAAGGCTACTACATGCTTTAGTTGGTAGTGATTTTCAAAATAGGAGCCTGTGTTGTAACTTCAAAGTAGTTATGTGCAAGTAAGTTGTTATGCACACAGTGTTAGAGTAATAGATTGTTCCGTTGTGTGTTTTAACATTTAGTGTTTGCTTGTCTGCAAATACTCCTTTTGCCATTCTAGCATAGTTTAAGAGCTGGGCCATACATTACAAATTCAAATCTGACTTTTTATTCTTTCATGTAAGCATCATTTCTTATTACTTTATAAGGCTATTCTGGAAGCACATAGCACTATAGAGATATACTGAAAGACAATTTTTTTCTCCGCATAGGGAGAGAAGGAAGTTACAATACATAATTTTCAGTAGGTAATTTATGTGATTCATAAGTAAACTCCTGAAGGCAAGGAGTCACAGATACTGTATTAAACAATGTAAGATTCTTTAAAAACTACAGCGAATATTGAGTTTGCACAGTTGAAGTTCTTCCTAACCTTTGAATTATAGCACAGTCATCATCAGGATTCTTTTGTTGTGTTTAAAAATCTGGCTTTCTGAATTTTATTGCTGTAAAAAAGTCTACCAGCAGAACCCTTAAACAGGAAAAAAAAAAATTAAAAAAGAAAAGGAAACCATGAAGAGTAAACAAAAGTGCTGATGGCATAGTTTCCCAAAAACATTTCCCTGGGTCACTGTAGTTTGGTCTGGGAGTTTGCTACTGTGTACACACTGCTTGCTAGACACTGCAACTTCACGGCGTATCAGAAGGAACTGGGCTGCATCCTCTTCCTGTCTCTTCCGCTAGAGAAGTTTTGAGGTTTTTTAGTTTTGATTTTTTTTCATTGTGGCTGTTGCTGGATAAGGGTAAAATTCACTCCTTCCAGCTTCTTCCCTTTTCACCAGAAAACATGAAAGGGTAGGAATAGCCCAGTCCTGTCTTAACATAGTTTTTACCAGTGTATAGATAGAACAGTCTTAAAAATCCTTTCTGGCATCTTGGCATTTATACTGTTATGACTCTTCACATGTAAAATAAATTCCAATTAGTCAACTATGTATAATTTTAAAATAAAAAATAAAAATATTGGAACAGCTATATGAAGACTGAAAATGCTGTGATTAGGCCTAAATAAATGCTTAAGAAAGTCAAAAGTTGTTGTCTGCCATTTCTCTCCAATTTGAAGTCTTTTTATTTTATAATCCTATTTTTTACTGTGTTTGATCTTAAATTCTTGACTTACTGAGGTCCTTAAGCATTTGTCTGTCTTTAAACTACAGTGGCAGGAACAAAAGAAGCAGAGCTGTGGTCTGTTCAGTTGTGCTTTAGGATCTGACACTGACAATAGCAGGAACTTCAAAGTGAAGCTATAGGCAGTTACAAAATACTGTAGACACAGTGAAGGTGTTTTCTTAAGTCCTTTAAGGTGGATTCGTACTCTACACAAAAATCTTGGCTTGTCTTTTTGCTATTTTAAGCTTCCTCAAGAAACCATCAAAGCACTCTGTAATAAGCCAGAAATGTTAATTCAAGCAAATATTTCACTCTAAAAAACCAGTATATGGCATAAATACATAAGAGAAGTGATGACTATCAAAATCTTGCTATGATGGGGTTTTGATCAGGTGAGATTTTCCAAAATAATTTCACCAAAGAAACCATATCCACAGGTTTTGGAAAAGTGAACTCATCTTCTGTCACATATGCATATCCACTCCCTTCTGCCATAAAGATCTATACTGCCGTGGTAAAGTTGGGAGAAAAAAATCCTACCCTTTTTCCAGGAGATCAGCACAAACCTAAGTGTGTGAGCAAACTATACAGTCTATGCTGATAGAAGTTTCTTTGTGGTGTCCCATGCCTCCCAGTAGCCCACTTTGCCTAACATTTTAGAAACCCCTGCATTATTTGTATCATTATTCTGAGTTAGACACTGCTCTGAAGTGTAAGGTTATGTAGCCATGTGTTTAAATGTTCAGGAAAATGAAGAAAACACAATGACAAGGCTACAGGTCAGAAAACCAGTCTAGCCACATCTAGTTCTTCCACATTCAGAGTGGATAACTTATCCCCAAAACTGGATCAAAGTATATTTTTTGTTTTGTGTATCTTTATTCTGTCCTCTCTTAAGCATCTCATGACTGAACAGTTTCAGTATTTTCATCTCTCTTCATATACGAATCCATCCATATTTCTAACTCCTTTAATTATCTGTATCTCTTTTGTTTCTTTTTAGTGGATTGTCAGAAGTAAATGCTGTATATTGTAGCACATGATCATTTTATAAGCTATGACAGTACTTATTCTGTTGATATATGGAAGTGTTTTCCTGTACAGAGTGAATGCTTAAAGCAGATTTGGCTGTTTACTGTCATAGAACTAAGTCTAATCATAAACAAGCACAATGAATAAAAACAACATAAATAACAACAAAAAAAAAATTTAATTGTCTGCATTATTGCAGTCAAGGTTTTGTAGGGTATCACCACAGCTTTAAGCCTTGAAAATTATTGATGCTGTTGTAAACAACATTAGAAATACCACACTGTGATACAGAAAATCAATACTCTTCACTTACAGAGTGTAATACACTAATTGTAATACAGGAGTCTGACTTACAGGATGATTTTGAAGATCACATTTTTTTCTTTCATTCACATTAACACTCCTGTGCGTATCAAAATCAGAAAGATAAGCAGGAGCTGTTTTTATTGCTTAGACATAGAATAAACCTTTATATAGTAGACAGTGTATTATGAAATAAAATGCTGTGTTAATTGATTGTGTGCTGGTGATCTAGAAAGTCAAAAACTTCAGATGGACCTGCAGAAGATGGAACTCTTGGAGGGCAAGATGGTTGATGAACTAGCTTCTCTTCAAGACAAAATAGAACAAACAAAAATGGATTTGAAGGTCTATAATAATTTGCCAGCTCTGAAAGCATCAGGAGAAGAGAAGAAACAGGTAATGAAAAGAATGAATCCTTGCATATGCAGACTTTGTGAGTTTTTGAGCACCTAATGGAGGGGAATCCAGGTCTATGACTGGGAATTCTGACTGATAACTGAAAACGGGGCTTGCACTCCAGGGCTAATGAATCCAGATGTTTTTCTGCTTATTTGTATGACTGGGTATTTGTAGCAGGCTGTCAACTGGATAATTTTGATAATTTCCTTCCACAAAATTTCTCATTTAGTGATTCATCTGAACTTTTCTGATGTAATTGTATCTACCCATAAGTTTGAATTTAGCAATCATGGAATCAAAACACAAAAATAAAATTATTCTGCATATATTTGCTCTAAGACAGACTCCATCTAAAGCAATTCCCACTTCACAGGTAATAAATTTCCTACAAATTCTTAACATTAGCATTCCCACTTGCGCTACAAGACTACAACTTGGTCATAACCATTGAATAATATTTTTAGGATAGAGCATGCATGCTAGAGAAAAGCATTATGAGTTCTTTAAGCTTATGATTATGTTCTGAAAGGAAGAAAAAGTAGCATCTTGAGAGCTAAATTAGAATAATTTTTCTGTAACCCAAAGTAAATTTATTCATCCATTAATTGGTTTGTGTTGGTTTGGTTTTTTTTCCCAACTAGAGACTCCAGGATGACAAAGAAAAATTAACAAAACGTACCCATGCTTTCAAGAAAATAATGGAACACTTGAATACAGAGTATGAGACAGTAAAGAGAGAGCTGCAAGAGAATGAGACACATTCTCAGGTATAGCTCAAGCTACATGCTCTTTCTTCAGTTTTTGTATTGCATTCAGTTTTCTCACGCACATGAAGCATTGTATTGACAGAATCCATTTATCTCTTCTCAGGGAGTTTTCAAAGTTATGTACTATAAATGTTTTCTGTTTTCAAACAAAAGTTAATACTGTGCCAATGAATTGCTCATAAGCTTTGGATTTCAAAGTTACTAGCAGAGGTCTCTCTGAGCTTAAAAATTGTATGAATCTTTAACTGTTTTTATTAATCTTACTCAGAACTCTCCCCCTTTTGCCTTTCCTTTGCTTGGGGAGTTTGGAGGACCAACTTAAAAAGAAACTACAGAAAAAAGAGTCACTGGTAATCAGATAAGATCCCTTTTGCTTTTAAAGTTATGGCAGTAAATTTTTTCTTGCAGCTTGTACTGTTAATTCCATTTCACTTTTTCCAATCCTTCTGCTCCTTGCAGAAGACTGAATTTTTAGGGTTTGATCAGACTTTTTAAACCCAAGGAACTTTGGTATATGAGTATATTTACTTTTACATTTCGAAAGTGAATCAGGAAACATGATGTTTATAAACTTTTGAGCAGCTTTTATTCTTCCATTAAAAACACCCATAAATCACTGTCATTTTGGCAACAAAACTTTAAAGGCATACAGGTTTGAATGCACAGAAAGAAAATGGACAACATCAAAATAAGGTGAAAGAATGGAAATTGATGATTTTCTCTGCATTTCACAGATTTTAGTTGTTTCAGAGTGTTGAGATCTCTTTAGAACTGTTACTTTTTTCTGATTCAGTTAAAAGCTGGAGGTGATATTTGTACATGTTTAAGTAAACTTTCTTCTGGAGTGAATTCTATGGAGCAGATGAGAGGGCATAGCTCTAAATGAGGAGGTATACGTATACATTCATAGCATATGGTTATTGTGGGCTAACTCTAAGACGATGATATAATCCCCAAAGCTGCATGCCAAAGTCTGCAAGACTTCTGTTATTGTTTATGTTTTATGCCAAAATCAGATTCTTATTCCTAGAGGTTATGTAAATCAGACCAAGATACCCAGCCAGTGTTAAGATATGCATAATGATGCAAAAAGTTTATGTAAAATAGTAGGTATACAGCATTTTTTTAGTTCATTAAGCTGTGGCAGTTTTATTTCAATGCGTGCAAAAGGATTTGTTTCCTTGCTTTTTTATGTCATGAGTGCAAAAGTCATGAGGGTGAATAAATATAAAATAGCTGACTAGCTGACATGCATCAAGCATTTTGAAGTACAAATAGCATTTACACTGCTTGAACGTTTGAGCAGTTTTGTAAGCAGCTGACTGTATGAGCTGTGGCCTTCAAGGATTTACTTCAAAAATGCACTGAATATATCCTATGATATCTATCAGACGGGCTCCTTTACTGGCTGTATTGCATGTAGCAATATCTACAAAGGGGGCAATAAATATAATTGATCAGAAATACCATATCTTGGAAATAAATGACTGGCATGTTTGCTGTGAACCAATACACTAGATAACTCATTCTTCACTGTGAGATTTATTTTGTGTAATATAGGAACTATTTTCATATCAACTTCTAGCTGAAAAATAAGCTTCTAAGTAAAATCTTACAATATTTTCCTAATTTATTACCTTAGTTGCCACTGGAAGTTTAGTCTCAGAATGATTTTCAGGTTTTGCATTTAAAAATAACATCTGCATATCTTGAAATGCAGAACCTTGAACAGTAGCATCAGAAAAACAAATATAAAATTGTATTGTAAGGAAGCAGCCATCGATATAATGTCCACATCAGTTTCCTGTTGATGCTGAAAGTATTGAAGAAGTGCCAGCACTTAACCCATACTCCTACAATCTTCTTGCTGCAGTGCTGTTCTTATCACAGCTTCTGGCATCAGGCAGGAAACTAAACTATGGAAGTAAGGAAGTTTCTTCTGTATAGCTAAAAGTCCAAGACAGTGTCAGGAAATATTGTATCTTTGGTGATTTTAGATTTTACTGATTTTAAAAAGAGATCATTTAAATGATATGAACTATAATGAGAAATAGTATCTCTCTGCAGTGTTTACCTTTTTTTACTTCTGACTTGCTTACATATTTCCCTGTATGAGAATCTTGAATTCTTATCTGGTTTTTTTTTTCCACCTACCACTGCAGTTAAATGCAGTGCTTTTATATAGATAGGTGTATGAAGTGCTAAATTATACATAGGTTAATCATTGGCAGTTTTAAAACAATTTTGCCATTGTTTCTCATTTCTGTGGTGTTTGGTTTTTTTTTGTGAAATAACTTTGATCTTATCAGGTGGTAGGATACAGGGTATTGGTACAACCTTTTTTTTGGGACATTCTTTGTATAAAGTATGTGTGTAATAATAATAGTTTTAATTTTTGTCTCTTTTGTGTTTTCAGCTTATAAATTTGGAGAGGAAGTGGCAGCACCATGAGCAAAATAACTTTATGATGAAGGAATGTATCCTTTTCTTTAAGAAATACACTAAAATTCATGCAGTGTATTAATTGAGGAAGAAGTCTGTTTCCTCCAGCATAATAAGACAGGACGGAATGGGCAGCAGAAGACAGGGGAGGAGGGGAAAGGAGACACTTTGCAAATGTCTGTTTAGCTTAAAGATATTATATATAGCAAAACTTTCATGTGTTATCTGAAACAATTTCATGTGGTCCTAAAGCATGAGATTGGTCTTGCAGTCCAGAGTTTTTCCTGTTGGATCAGTCTTGCATTAAGTTTCATGCAAATATCATCCTATCATCTGTCCAGTCTTACCTGAAATCATCCAGCAAGTGTAGCATTGTTGGAAAATCTGTATAGCATGGTGACTTTGCATGGTCATTTGCAATTTCATAACACCATGAGTATCAGTGATGAAAAAGTAAACAAAAAATTATGTGCATTTACTGTGTTTTTTATCAAATAAAAGAGGAATTGTATATTAGAGGGAAAAATCAGACAAATATTGTAAGATATGACAAGAGATGCTTTTGCTGCAAAATGGGCTGGGATGGGGGAAGCGCATTGTACGTCTATAATTACGCGTTGCTTACTAAAAAGTTACGTTATGCTAATCACAGAATCATAGAAATGTTTAGGTTGGAAGGGACCTTAAAGATCATCTAATTCCAACCCAGTTCCTTCCACTAGACCAACCTTCCACTAGGTTGCTCAAAGCCCTGTCCAACCTGGCCTTGACCACTTCCCCTGATGAGGCATATAAAACCTAAACCATCAGCAAAAGCTTGTTTGATATAAGTGATTTTCATAAGGTAGTTTTTGAAATTAGCAAAAGCACTGGAGATTTTTAATTAGAATTGGTCTCATCTTGTACTGTTCTCTGTAGTTATTGTAGAGATCTCAGTAGGGCATAGTTACACTTTTATATTCTAGGGACTGCAACACATTAACTTCTTTAAAATGAATCAGGTGACAAAAAATCTGTAAGCTCAAAGATGCATATAACCACTGTTATATGATTATTACAGTATAAATATAACTGCTAAAAGTAACAGCAAAACTAGACCACACCATAAAGTGTTGTGTGTTGGACGATGTACATCACTACATGTCTCAGAAAATGGCACAAGAATGTATTTCAGGCAACTCTGTAACAGCCTAGCCATCAGGGAAAACAATAACAATACAGGATATGCATATAGATTATCTTTTTCATATAACAAATATCCCATTTCTCATATCTGATAAGTGCTCTGATTCTTAAAAAAAAAATCAGAAAAAAATCGTGGACAATGTAATTTAATTAGACCCCACCTCCTCTATGAAGAAGGCTCTATAGGAATATCTTACTAAGGCAAGAATCTTAGATCCTATTTTTTCTAACACAAAAATCTCTAAAACAAACCAACAAAAAAAGTTTATGTTAAAAGCACCTCCTTACTTGCTACAATGTTATTACCTATCCAACTGTGACCCCCCTTTGCAGAGTTTTGTATCTGCTTGAGCTACTCCTGCTTTCTTGGACTGGGACTTTTATAGGCAGAGTTCTAAAGTGCCAAACTGAATATAGGGCTGTAAATAGCTGAGTGATTTGAAATGATTTTGTTTGCAGTGTTACAATGGGCAGAGTCTTCCACAAGGGAGCTATTGCCTTTGTACATCAAAATAAAACTAACTTGGCATGTACTCTCTTTTTATTCTTTCACAGCGCTTGGCATGAGATTGCAGCTAGTAAATTAGTGTAAATCTTTTATAAAACAATTTGAGGTTTTTCCATTATTTGCACCCCTTGACAGTTTTCACAGAACGAAACTTACTGTATTGCGGTTTCCTTATGGTCTCTAATTATCCTAATATTAATACTGGCAGCTTATTTCCTTAATTCTTTTAAATAGTCATAGCAACAAAAAGTCAGGAGAGTGACTATCAGCCAGTAATGAAGAACGTGAGAAGGCTGGTCACAGAATACAACAAAGCTCTCATAGAAGCTTTACAGAACACCAAGAACTGAATCCAGGCGCTTCCTTCCTGCCCCAGTGGACCAACAATGAAAGATGTGCACAGGCAGCATGGAAAACTAGATTGCTGAACTCATACACTCACCACTATGGCAACAGACTCTTAAAAGTAGTTCTTCCAGGTTTTTAGAAGTCACAGTTTTTAATACTATTCCTCTTTTGCAACAGTTAAAAATTTTAGAAATGAACTTCTGAATTTTATAAACTTGTAGAAATAAAAAAGAAATACTGCACAATGAGTGTAAAATCATCAGAATATTTTACTGAGGCCCACTGCTGGATTGAAATGTGAAACTTTAGTCTGCTTTACACAGTGGATCTCTAATTGTCTTGTAGGCCTATCCCTGCCAAACAGAACAGGAGTTTTTTCCTTGAATAAGGGCTGCCTGGCAGGATCTAATACACATTTTCTTAAATGAAAGGTATAAGATTAATGGTGATATCAGCATACCATCCCTATTTAAACAGCAACTTATGACAAGGAAGGAAAACATCTAAGGAGGACAAGCAAATATACTTTATATCTGTTAGAAAATTTTCCTTTCCCAATGATTAACTTCTTTATTTTATATTTTTTTAATAAAATTGTAAGAGGAGAACCATGATATGCAAAGTGCAGCATAACTATTACTGATCTTGTGCAAAGCATTTTACTTTTGTAGTATTTACCAATAAAAGAAATAACAGAGAAAATTATTTGTATTTTCTGCAATTTTTTTTTATCAGGTTTCAAGCTGCAGTGTCATATGCAACCTTTACTTTGAAAAAATACGTAGTAAGAGATTCAACATTATAGAACAAAACAAGGACTGATGCAGAAATAACAATGTGCTTTTCAGAAATTTCAGAAAACATTTACATAAAACAAAATTTCCATGTGGGGATTTCGTTCATGTTCTACATGTATTTGTAAACTACCTATTGATCATTTTCTCCACCTGGTATGTTGTAACCTAGTCCTGATCAAAGAGAAAAAAAAAGCACAATTGACCGTAGATAAGAATCTTAGTCAGACAGTAATCTAGCCTTTTCAAAAAAGAATAACAAAAAGCAGGGTCTGGATTTATAGTTGTCTTAGTCTCTTAGAATAATTTTCCAAAAAAAAAAAGTAGACTGTATGCTTCACTTCATAGAACTGGAGTAGACCAAGAATTAAAAAACACGCTGAGTCCATTGAAATTAAAGTTCTGTATTTTTGTCAGTAAGTTTCTCAAATCTGTGATTGTCATTGGGAGTATAAAGAGGTATGTAAAAAAAAATAAATTGAATATTCTCCCAGAGAAGCACCGTGTTTCCGAATTCAGCACAGTAAATGCTGTTGCTCTGTATATTTATGTCTGAATAATATTTAGAGATAATGGAACAGGATTTCTATAAACCAAGGACTGTTATCTAGGGGAAATTCCCACTAATGTCTCTTCCTTCCTGTCAAAGTTTCAGCTATTCCAGAGAGAGACCATTATTTGCTGAGATAAAGTTGAAGTCTAATATTCTCACCAACCAAACCATCAGCCGGAGAGGTTGCCTCCTGAATTCCACTTGCGCTACAATAACACATTTTAATGAACAATGGAAAAAAAGCTGCAGACTGAATAAACAGACTGCTTTAAATTCGCTTTCACTCATGGCAGGGGATAGTTTTATTCCTTGGTAGTGATTCAGTAAGATAGCATGGCAGAGTTTGCAGATTTTTGTGGTGTTCCCATGAGATGCTTGTCATAAAAGTCGTCTCTCCAGCGTGCTGTTCTTTTCCTTGTGCTATTCAGGGATCTCCAAATTACCTGTGCCTGTCTGAAAATCTTGTCAGTTGTTCTGTCTTTTAACAGCTCCTCTTTATGGTCCCGGATTATGATCATAGTACCCATGGCTGAAAAGAACTGTATGGATTCTGAATGCTGAGGTACACACCAGGCATTTCATCTCTCTTCAGGAGATTAACAACTCATTCCCAGAAGTGAGCTGAGTAAATTGTATCCATATCTAGCTCTCAACATCTCAGTGAAAATAACTTTAATTCTTTTTATATTTTCTTAAACACAAGTATAAGTACCAGACATAAGGCATTTTTTCACCAAAGTTCCTGTGTGTTTATCAAGACAGTAATTCAGTGACACAGGTTTCTCTCCCCAGGCAAGCTTTTATCCATTTTATGTGATGACTTCAAACTGAGAGGACACTGAGTGGCAACATCTATCGGGTGAAGAAATCTAAAACCTTTTCTGCTCACCTGTCTCACCACGGCTGATTAAACCATGCAGTGAGCCAATTTTCAGTCCACCTCACTGTCCACTTACCTAACCTATATTTTGTCAGCTTATCTATGAGGATATTATGGAAAACCGTGTAAAACACCTTGCTGATGTTGAGGTAAACTTCCACAGCTCTCTCCCTGCTCACTGAGTTACTTACTTCATTGTGGAAGGCTATCAGGCTGATTAAGCATACTTGCTGCTTCATGAATTCATGCTACCTACTCACAATCGCCTTCCCATCCTTTATGTATTCGGAAATGGTTTCCAGCATAAGTTTCTCCATCACCTTTTCAGGGATTGGGGTGAGGCTGACCAGCCTGTAGTTCCCTCTCACTCTTCCTTCTCTTCATGTCTTCATGACGTTTGCTTCCTTTCAGTCTCCAGAAGCCCCTCTCGTCACCATGAAGAAAAGATAATTGAGAATGGCCTCACAATGCCATCAGCCAGCTGCTTCTGCACATGTGGGCGCATCCCTACAAGCCCATGGGTTTACGTATAGTTTGTTTAAAAGTTACCTAACCTGGTCCTCCTCCAGAAAGATGCCACTGAGGCATTAGAATGCCAGGTTTGACAGTGTCTGTGAATCCAAATCCCACTTCACTGGCACACTGCACAGAAATCAGCATTTCAATTTCAAAACCTTCAACCAAAGGGTCTGTTGTTTCTATGTTTGTGCTTTGCATGTTGAGCGTAGGAATGAATGTCATTATTCTCAGCTCATGATGGGGTGACATTGCACCAACCTTGTTCCCCTATTCAGACATATCATACATCCAGGCAAGCTGTACTTTTGCTGCAGGTGAGTCCTCTGCTTGGTCTTTCTGCTTCATCTTATTTCCATTGCTTTTCATTGTGATCAAAAAAAGTTACTTTTCTTTCAAAATGAGTTGATTTTTTTCCTTTCTGTTAACGAGCATTATAAGACAACATGCAGCATTTCTGTGAGAAATCCCAAGTGGGCAGAACACTGAGATTCTTTTTTAATTCTTTCTGCCTGATATTATTTAACGTTTCTTAGTGCTGGTATAGTGTGTTTCACAACTGGAGGAAATGTGTTTCCAAAGTGAAGTGGTTGTAAAGTCTTTCTGGTTTTTTAAGTCTATTTTTCTGCTGCAAGTGTAAGACAAAAATACAAGGCATAAGGCACACCTTATGATGAGGTACTAGCCATACAATACCTTAGTTTGAGGAAAAATATATTAAAATGCTTATTTTATTCTGCAAAGTATCTGCTTTGTGTGAGCTCCTTGGAAACATGTCTCAGTGATAAAGCATCGGGGTGGGGTGGATGTGGCAAGTGTCTGAAGTGAAAAAACCCCTCAGATTCTAAGATCATAAAATTGGCATTCACTTGAGCACATGTAGAGTGGTGGATTCTAGATGAGCACTATGTATATTAGGTGATAATTCCAGCCAGAGCAAGACTGTGGAGTGCATGTTAATCTCCTCAAAGGGGAACTGAATTACTCTCAAACAAACCAGTTGTCGTCTTTCCCTTTTTCGGTTAAGAGGTAGGAAGCCTTTAAGGATTTCATAACTGCAGAGAAGATCTGAATTCAAAATCCCAGCTTTGATCAATCATTCATTGGCATTGGCAGAAGTTTGAAGCAGAGGAAGAGTTGTTCCTTTCCCCGGATTGCAGCGTTCTCCTGTCAGGAAGGAGGAATGGCTGGACAATATGCCAAATGTGTGAAATGAGGAAGCCTCCCACATTTAAAAAAAAAAAAAAAAGAGCCAGAAATGTAAAATGATCCGCTCTTGTTTCCTCTGATAAAGCTAATTCCTTGAAAGCTACAAAGTGGCTGAGCTTGATGCACTGAACACTGGAGTCTTTGGATCAGGCTCAAGATTTCTGCTGTGCAGCAAAAGATGAGTAAGGTGCAAGACACCATTGTCCAAAATACATCACAAATTTGCTGATGAATACTATTTCAAGTGGTGTGAGAGGGACTCACCACCTCTGAAAATTAGAAAATTAAAATAATGATTATAGAAGAAATTATCGGTAGAATCAGTCACACCAACAGTTATGCATGAGAGAAAAAATTCCAAATAAAGCCTTCAGATCTTCTGTATTCTATCTGTCCCTTCTTTTTCTTCCAAATAAAATGAAAAGAAGGTGTTTACTGGCTTGGACTTTTCGTGTTTTCTGTATTTGATAGTTTTTTAGGATTATTGAGCTGAAAATTACTGAAGTTTTTTACCCATATGCAAATCTACATTTTAACTTCTTGCCTTAAGATGAGATGTGCATGTCTCTAGCAAACTTCCATATTTAAAGAATTGCAAAAATTATATTGTTCAAACACTAAAATAAGTATGCAATTTAGAAAACTTTCTCTCACAGAGAAAGAAAGAAAACTGAAGTTAAAGCTGTAGCGTTCAAGAGAAGGAACAGTTACACTGCAGCTCACCAGCAGTGCACATCTGGTTCTCCTAAATCAGAGTGAGATTTTAGCCAGTCCCAGTGTGACATCAATTTGGAAACTGAGCAAGGTAGACAGCATACTTGATGAATACTGGTTACAGCTAAATAAAATTAAATGATGCAGTCATCAAATAAAAATGACCATTAGAATCACATTAACAGTGAGAGGTTAATTCAGTGAAAGATAGTGGGTCCTGCAAACAGGATTTTAAGAGTGATTTTTGGTAACCTTAATGGATGAAAACACTAACCCTGAGATCTAATGACCACGACCCACTTCCTGGTCCTTGGAAGCAATAGTCAGAGCTGCAAA